CAACTGAATATATTTTTAAATAAATAAGATTCATGTTGGTTTATAAGTGATATTTGTATTTCTCAGAAATACACTAAAAAATAAATTATAAATTAATTGATTTCAACGACCTTCATTTACGTTGAACTAATGAAATAGTTTGAGCTCTCTGCTAAAATAAACACAAGTATTTCTTTATCATAAATTCCTACAGTTAGAAGCATCTTAATATGCATCATTGGAAAAATTGATTATTATAAGTAAAAGACCATAATATCATAGACTGAAGCGGTTATAACATATGTATTTCTTTCATAACTTATTCTTAAGTTGACTATATAGCTATAGCGATATATATATACGTACATATACATACATATATGTATATATGAACGTATACATTTCTGTGGCTCAATTAACAGCAACCATTCATCTTCAAATATATTTTGTAGAACAATACAAAAAGTAGATAATTTAAAAGTATCGACATACTTCGGTAAAATACTTATACCGATATAAAAAGAAAATATAAATGATTGTTTAATTTCGCTCCTTCTCCTATATTTGTGGATAATTTTAAAAAACATGTCTTTACTTCTTACAAAGAATTCTCGAAAATATATTCTTTGTATACAGCTTTAACGTATATGCTACAGTAAAGGAATACATCATGGTGACTAAAGCCGCTTCTTATGAAATGCAGACCCAGTGTTTCATTTTCCATTGTGTGTCTGTATTAGTTTCAAAGTTTTCAGTTCTTTATCTGTTTTTCTTTTGATTTTACGGATTCAATCTGCGGTTATTTGAATTCCTTCTTGAGAATCTCGAAGCACAATTTCTGCTGGTAACATATTTTTCATTTCATTTTGACGAGGAACTGGTTCTTCCTTTTTCGCAGTTTGTGTAGCATGATGTTTCTTCTTGTGACACATCATAGTTGATCTTGAAACGAATGTTTTACCGCACGCGTCACATTCATACGGTCGTTCTCCAGTATGCAGTCTCTTATGAATAGCCATTGGAGTGAACTGTGTAAAAGTTTTCCCACAAATATCACACCTATAAGGTCGTTCTCCAGTGTGCAATCTTCTGTGGCATCGTAACGCAGCTCTTCGAGCGAACACTTTTCCGCACATATCACATTTAAAGCTCTTCTCCCCAGTATGCATCGTCGAATGAATTTTAAGATCAACTCTTGTTAAAAATCCTTTCCCACAAACTTCGCATAGATACGGTTTTTCACCGGTATGAATGCGCAGATGTGTATTAAGATAACTTTTACTAACAAACATTTTGTTGCATACGACACACGGATACTGCCGATTATCCATGCCCGAGTGTATTTTCTGATGACTTTTACAAAGTCCTTTAGTTATAAAACCTCTACCACAAATCTCACACACATATGGTTTAACACCAAGATGTCTGTTCTGATGATCCAACAAAGACTGTTTTGTTTTGAAATGTTGTCCACATGTATTACATGGAAATGGCTTCAAATCTGAATGCACTCTTTGGTGAAGAACAAGATAGCTTTTCGACTGGAAACCTTTACCACATGTAGAACAATTATAATCAAACTGTCCTGTGTGAGTTGCTGTGTGTTGTGCAAGCCCTATTTTACTTCTAAACGCTTTTTCACAAGTCACACACTGAAAAGGCTTCTCGCCCGTATGTTTTCGCATGTGTTCCTGCAACTTGTAATTTGTCCTATACTGTTTTCCACAGTGGGTACAAACTTTTGGTGTCCATCTTTGTCTCACAGGTGCTTGTTTCTTTTGTTCATTCGTATTCACACCATTTTGTGAGGGTGTTAGCTCTGATTCTTTGACCTGCACTTCGCTGTTGAGTGTTTTCTTTTTATGTGTATCACAACTTTCTTTATGTACATTCAATGCTTCTAAATTTGTATAATATAAACCACACGTACAGGAAACAAAATATTGTTCAAAGTGTGCCATCATATTACTTGAACCTAAAATTGCTTCATTACAAAATGGACACACATACCAATGAGAACCTGTTTCATCAATTGTTGGATTGCTTAATGTGGATTCTAATAATGAATGTTTTGCTGCTTTTGTATATTCAACTAATATTTCTGAATTTTCGTTTGTCACTTGACTTGTTGATGCTAAAGTTTCTGTTTGAGTAGTTGTATGTGTTGCAGTTTCATTTTCTACAGGATGTGGATCTTCTATATCACTATCAGCTTCTACACGGGTTGGAGGAAAATCATTGTGTGGTACCTAGAAAGTGAAATTATTTCATAAATAAAATTGTTTAGATGTGTAAAAATTAATATTACATTACATTTTCACTTGACATCTTACATTGTTTTCAAGTACATTTGAAGTGTCCTCTGTATTTAATCTCTCTTGCAACCTATGATATTCTTCCTTTATTGGTACTGATTCAAATTTTACATTTTCACAATAATGTACTATTTGTTCTCTATTTTGATCTTCAGGGGTTATTGAAGTCACGTAATTAATTCCTAATTGACCCAAATGATCACTGACTGTTAAATTTCCAACTACAGTCATATCTCCTTCTAAATGTACTGCTATTTGATGATTAGAAACCTAAAGTATGACAGTACATATAAATTAAAACAAATACAAGGTGCCATTAAAAGACTTTAGTACTATTTTGAAATGATTATAACAAATATAATGTAGTTCAGTTTAGCAAGCATATTTAAGTTAAATAAAATTTATTGGTGCATTTACTTCTCGTATGTGTTCGTTGACCATTCTGACTGTATCGCCGTCTAAACAATCGATTCCTGTAACCTCGATACTGGTATCCTGTTGTCCTATTTCTTCCTGTGTAACAACCTGCTCACCACCTGCTAAGTCCATTTCATCCATGACTTGCATTGTGTGGATAGTAGCTTCCGTTGTCTCCTGAGAATTTTGTACATCATCCATGTTATTTTGTATTCTATCTATATCCCTTTGAATTCTATTCATTTCTTCTACTTCATCCAAATCATGTTTCGTTATGTGTACAACTTCTTCTTTAGCAATTGCTTTCAACATTTCCATGAACATCCCTTCTGTATGCAAGCATTTTTCACGAAAGTCAAATAATTGATCCAGTTTATAAGCACATTCCTCACACACTACTTTTGGTAACTGATCGCTCATAGATACCTGAAAATACTGAATTAGCTAATGACACAATATCGTTTTTTTTGATAAGACATTTATGAAGTGGTATCACAGTCTTCATTTATACTGTATGTAGTTGAAACCAATATACACCCTGATCATTGTTACAAGATCATGAAACCTTGCACCAATTTTCTTTCTCTATTTATAGTTAAATTAGAAAGAGGGGGTGAAGACACAGCACTGAAGACCGCAGTGAAATCGAACCTCTATCTTTACGCATGATTTTACCTGCACTGGCAAACACGCGGCTATTTTCTTGTCAATGTTACGCATTTGATCACCGGCTTCAAAGATCGGTAATCCCATTAGAATGCCAGTCTTGGTCGCACATAGACGACATAAATAATCAAATTCCTCGACGACGGCCATATCAACAGAACAGGGGAATTCGTCTTGTCGACAGACCGAACAAACGGCCTAAGACACGATCAAAATTTTAGCTTAAAAAACCCAGCAGGAACGTTCTTTTGCGTGATTCAATGAACTCGTCACGCATTACGAGATTCCCTAAACCGGCTACAGTAGATCTTTAGTTTAAAATTTGTCTACTTTAAAGATATGCATTATTCAGATATATTTGTCAAGTGAGTCTGTCTGCGTTCACACCATCGAGAGTCCTCTTGCAATCAACCGTGGTGTCCGAAGCGGGGGGATCAGCTTGCGCTGATCTCTTTTCATCTAAAGCGAAACTATTTTGTAGATGGCGTGCTGAATATACTTTTCATCGATTAACGAGATATCGAAGATCGAGGAATGTTCTTAATTAATAATATATTGAAGTTCGAACAATGCCTTGATCATAAACAAATGAAAAAAAAATTATACATCTTGTTCTAATTTTTTTAATTAAAATGACAGTTGTCTCTTATGGAATGATGGTTAATGATGCATACTGCTTTGATTATTAAATTCATCTATTAACAGATTTTTTAGAGACATCATTTATGCATCAAATGTCAGATCATTAGTAAAATTCTCTTTATAATTGATCGCATTATTGATTAACATGTAACTTTTCTATTTCACTAAATTTACCTACGATACCATCTATGATGAAACGCCTAAGCTACTATCACAATTTTGTCACTAGATGGCAATACGATACTCTTTAGACACTTGTTGCATTATTAACGCATAAATCACTCATTCTGTGGAACTTTTCTTCATGAATGTGAATTATTAAAACCAATTACAATATCTTGCATTTGGAATTTCATATTTTAAGTTTAAAAATGGTCTGTGGGTTTTTTAAGTTAATACTGTATCACAGTCGTCATCTATTGACAACAATATGCTACTAATAATTTACACGTTCCACTGTAGATGACGTTTATTATAATTGTTATATTTAAAAATTTTAATATTCATGTAAAATGCTGTAACTAATTGATAACGCATGATTTTCACTCATGGATTATTACATATTTTTGTGAATATTTCATATTGTATAAATACAATTTTTATACCGGTACATGGAAATGTTTTATCCCTTGATTTCTAATAAAAATGGCGACTAATAAACAGGAGAATCAACAAAAAAGGAAATTACATAAAAGTGAAAATGATTCAGATGAAGATAGTGGAAGTAAGTATTTATTATTACTTGTTTCACTATTTGCAATTGTTTTCTATTTTTGATTTTCATTATAAGTCGTAATGACAGGGTTAGAGTTCATTGTTTACGTGTTTGATGTTTAAGGTTAGGTAATGTTTGAATTTGTTAGTACAATGTATTTATTAATAACACTTAAATTTAGTAATGTATATTGTATCAGAACTAGTCTAAATCGAAGCGAATAATTCGAAATTAGGAAAGGGTGTTTGTATATAAGTGTTTGCTAATAATTCCTAACCTCAAAATGGGTTAAGATATAAGTTTGTCCATTTCTTTAATTACAGAAAATGTTAAATATTCGAAAACAAACTCTGAAGCACCACGAATGTGTCCTTATTTGGACACAATAAACCGCCAATTTTTAGATTTTGATTTTGAAAAGTTGTGTTCAGTATCATTATCAAGAATTAACGTATATGCTTGCCTGGTATGTGGAAAGTATTTCCAAGGTAGAGGTACTAATACTCATGCATATACGCATAGTGTGGCAGAAAGTCATCATGTATTTCTTAATTTACACACTTTAAAATTCTATTGCTTACCAGATAATTATGAAATAATTGGTAAGCCAATCCTATTATCATTTTATAAATTAAGAAAAGTAAAAAAATATCGGATAATATATACCAGTAGTAAATAATAAATCATTCTTATTCAGATTCGTCATTAGATGACATAAAATATGTTTTAAATCCAACATTTGATAAATCTCAGATCTCTCAGTTGGATAAAAGCGATAAATTATCAAGAGCTATAGATGGTTCATTATATTCTCCGGGTATTGTGGGGATGAATAACATTAAAGCCAATGACTACTGCAATGTAATTTTACAAGTGAGTTATCTTTAAACATGTAGGTTTAGTAATCTATAGTTTGTGATAAAAAAAGTAAAAATTATGTTATTTAGGCACTTTCTCATGTAACACCTTTAAGAGACTTCTTCTTAAGAGAGTCTAATTATTCTCATGTAAAAAGACCACCAGGTGATTCCTCCTACCTTTTAGTTCAACGATTTGGAGAATTAATGAGAAAATTATGGAACCCGCGTAACTTTAAGGCTCATGTCAGTCCACATGAAATGCTACAAGCTGTGGTCTTATGGAGTAAAAAAAGATTTCAGTTTACAGAACAGGGTATATAATGTAATGCTTCAATATGGAAATATTTATGAATACGTTTGATCCTATATTTTAAAATCAAATTTTTAGGTGATCCAATTGATTTTCTGTCATGGTTTCTAAATGCTCTTCATTTAGCATTAAATGGTACAAAAAAACGTGATTCCAGTATAGTGTACAAAACATTTTTGGGTCATATGCGCATATATACGCGAAAAATACCACCCCTTGAATTAGATGAGAGCCAGAGAAGTGAATTGCTCCATACTGTAGAATATGGTGAAACAGTAACTGAGAGTCCATTTTTGTATTTAACATGTGATCTACCCCCACCTCCTCTTTTTAAGGATCAATTTACTGAAAATATTATTCCCCAAGTAAGTATATATAATTATATGAACATGAGAAATGTAATGATATATATTTTTTTTTCCATTTTGACAGGTTAATTTATATACACTCTTAAATAAATTCAATGCAGTCACTGAGAAAGAATATAAAACCTACAAGGAAAATTTTATGAAAAGATTTGAAATTACAGAGCTTCCTCCTTACCTTATACTTTACATAAAAGTAGGTAGTATTTTTTTTAATGACTAAAGTTCAAAAATTGATACATTTACATTTATAATTGATCTCCAATTTCAGAGGTTTACCAAAAATACATTCTTTGTAGAAAAAAATCCCACTATAGTTAATTTCCCAGTCAAGTAAGTTTTTGAAAATTATTTTTCAAATATAAAAGTTAAGTACACATTATATTCATATGTATACATTACTTTCAGAAATGTAGACTTTGGAGATATTTTAACACCTGAAGTAAAACAAAGGCATCCTTGTACAACATACGATTTAGTAGCAAATGTTGTTCACGATGGTGAGCCTGGTCAAGGAACATACAGGGTTCACATTTTACACAGAGCTACTGGTCAGTGGTATGAGTTACAAGACTTGCATGTAACTCAAATTCTGCCTCAAATGATAACATTAACTGAAGCGTACATCCAGGTACAGGTTTATATATACAAACATTTACATAACTATTACTAAACAAACATTATCAAACATATTCTTTTCAGATATATGAATTAAAAAAAGATGTAACTACCGAGAATGGCGACAGTAAAAATAATAAAGCAACATAATAGTATAATTTTTTAAATAAAATATTTCAATTTTTCACCTTGCATTATCATTTATTATTCCATTACACCTAACGCTCTTTAAATATTCCATTACAGCATTGTCACACCGAATGATCCTTAAATAACGATTCTATTTTCTTTATTTCACATAGTAGACATTGAATTATCCGAAACTTAATTCAGTGGTGCTAAAATAAATTACATATCCGCTAATATATTTATTAAACCATGAATCGCAAACCCGAATCCTTTTTGTAATATGTACTCGGCACGACGAGACGCCGATTGAGCCGAACGCTGCCGAACTTAGCCGAGAAGATCGGAAGTGTAAACTGGAAGTAGAAGTCGCGTCGTCGGTGGGAGAAATCGCGCGTGGAGGGGGGGACGGAGTGTCGCGCCGAAGCCCAAGCGAGCCAGAGTAGAGTCACAGCCGGCCACGCGAGACGGTTACGAGCGAGCGTTTTCTTTCGTGCGATTCGTGTTTTTCCACCTTTTTTTCCCGCCGTGCCTTTTGTTTTCGGTGTGTACGTCGGATGCGACGCGTTACGCGTATTGTTTAGCGACACGTTTGTGATACTGACGTTCCACCTCGCCCCCGTAGTTCATTGCCGCGAGTGTTTTTGTCTTGTCTCTCTGTGTGCACGTTGTGTTGTCCAGTGTGTTCTCAGCACGTGGATTATCGCCGGTGGGAGCAACGCTTGCACAACGGTGAGTTCTCCCTTTCATTTTTCCCCCCCTGGTGCCCGTTAATTTTTCCATCTTCAACGGGAATCTTGAACTTCGGGAAATCGCCTCGGATCATACGAATATTCGCGGCGTACGATGATCGGCGCCGGACACGATGCGCGTTTACGAGTTTTTGGAAAAGGCCAGCCTGCTGGCGGTAACGGTTCTGTCTCGCGTAAATGGCACCTGACGGAGAATCTCTATCTCCTTTAAAGCGTTCCCGCGTAAGTTGAGTATCGGAATCGAAGGTGGATACTGTTCGATACCGAGTGGCTCGAGAGTAGCGTGTACATAAATTATATGCAAATGGAGGAGTATCCGAGAGTAACTTAAGTGTCAAGAGAATATTTCACTTTGAATATTCAGTTATAAATATTTATAGCCGTGCGAAGAAGTCGCGCGTATACAATGAAACAAAATTCTATTCCCCCGGGGTCTGCCTCGCGTTACCGAAGTATATTCCCGGTTTGTATTTCTGGCAGCCTTGAATTTCCACAGGCCATAGCCGTTTCTGCATTTTTTGTTACGCTCTTGGGGACTATCGCGGCGAAGCCCGATAAATTGGGGATAGGGCTGGAGCCCGTGACACCCTACCGTGAAACGTAAACCAGACCTCATTACAGACACTGGTCATCCAAACGTTTCAGCCTCGCATTTTAACCAACATTCGTAATTCCTTTTAATTCTTTTATCGCAAACTTCTGAATCATATTTTATTTAAATATTCAATGTAACACCGGTTTGAGTTCACCGGTTGGGTGACGTATTTCAAAGTAACCGACAAAAGTTACGGACGAAAAACAAAGAAACCGTTTAACCCTTTACACTCCAGAAGTTTTTCACTGGAAATACTCAATATTTTCTAATGAGATGCGGATGACATTTTCATTGAGGAAGAAAACTATTTTCTTTCAATATTTCATATATTGATGCGTTACACAAAGTTTAATGTTAAATATCAAACTTTAGTTTTGTTATGTCAAATCATTTTCGACTCTAGAGTGCAAAGGGTTAATAATAAATCACTAATTACTCGCGTTACCAGTAATATAAACGAATTACCATTTCAAATCCAAATCACTGTTCATAATAGAACACTTAACCCTTTGTCCTATGATTTATTTCTATTCTGTGATCATTCTAACTACTTCGTTATTAATAATTAAATAAATAATTTATTGAAAATGAAAGAAAGTTCCAGTCTCATTCTATGTCAACGTGTGCTCTAAGGTATAATCATTGATAACAAAGGAATAACATGCAACTTGCATTCAAACAAACTGAATAATATTTGTGTCTATTAACCCTAATCGTACCACGTGTTTTTATAACGAATCGCACCACGATATGCTCTCAGTCACTTATGAGAATAAAAGGAACGATTAAAATGTTATTGTTTTCGTTTACAGGGCCCAAATTTTTAAAAAACTTTTAGAAATGCAATATGAAACCAAAAAATTTAAAAGTTCAAACGTGACTCGCGGTCCGATTAGGGTAAAATTCTATTTGAAATCTTCACCGCGAGCCTGACACGCTATTGTAGGGCAAGGGGTTAACCCTTTGCGGCCGAAGATTCTTTGAAATGTACAAAACCGTCAAGAGATAAAGATAAATTACATACCAATTGCTTAATTAATAGAAAAAAGAGAAACTACGTGCCGATCTCTTGCTGTTCAAGTAATTAAATGATTTGTCCGTGACTTAGTCTTCCAAATATGAACATTTCATCTCGCCGAAATGTCGACGTTCGTCCGGAAAGGGGTTAATCTTCGAACATTTTTATCGGCCCAAAATACCATGAAGTGACCATTTGATTCGTACGTGGCTGCGTGCGACCTGGAGCTAACGGAAAAGGGACAGAGGTCCACGGAAACGTTTCTATTCTGATTCTAATGTTCGCGTAGCCCGGTTATTCTCGTGCGAGCGATGTGCGAGCAATTCGGATTCATGTCGCGGCGGCGTGCTGCCAATGCGCGTACCTTCCAGTAAACCGTTCCGAATACCTGTTTCACGCGAACCACGAAAAAAACTGATTGCGTGGCCTCCGCGGAGGAAAGGAACGAGCCGCGCAACGTTCCCCGTTTAAAATGCGACGAGTGGCGGCGGGGGAGGGAAGGGGACCGGCCGGCCGGACGGACGGCCAGGGTGAAAGGGAGGTGGTACACGTTGGTTCTTGAAGAAGCCACGAGTTTCGGATTCCTAGCATCTTACCTCTTGATCGTTGCATCGCGTAAACCAGTTTCCGCGCGCGAAACAATCCTCCCCGATGACAGATCGGAAGCGCGTCATCAGTCTCGCGCGGCGGACCGCCATGTTTATGGTCGTCTGATGGCCGATGTCACGTATGCGTGATTCTGCCTCGTGCCTCTTGTAGTAGGCAACTCCGAATGTGTATTGTTGCAATTTAGTTTTGGAAATATTTTGAGGTGGGCGAGATTTTGACATTAAGTTTACTTTAGTTGCATTTATTTGGAGGGGGTGATCGTTTCACACGTTCAGTGCCATGTCAGTCACTGGTGACTGACGCTTCTGAATGACTAGAAAACAATGGTAACATACAAGTAGCTAAGTTGATAATAGTGTAATGCAAATATTGTAACGCCAAATAAGTAATCATTGTTCCTGCTTTTCTTTGCTACAACAGAAAAACTCTACTGGAAACGCTTGAGGTTTTCGTGGCATTTAACGCGTTGACACTAGTACTACCGAGCAAGGCTGAGTTATTTGTAATCTGTTGCAAAAATTAGGATTTCTTGAGATTCGAAGAGCTTTCTATTGCTATACTTGCATAAATGTAGGAATTTATTTTGAAATTTCCCACGGAAGCACCTTTATCATCTTAACACATTGCGTACCGGCTAATTTTCGGAAAACTGAATTGTGCGGATGGCAATTTTCACTGAGGCCAACTTATATCACTATACATAGAAAACTCAGATATCATATTGTTATGTAATATATTTTAAATAGATAATCAATTCGAATCAAATTTTATATTTCTTTCAATGCTGTGGTAATTAGCGGAGTTGCACAGCTAAGTGTCTTTATATAAAAACGAGATTTCTCGTTATCGGTACGCAATGTGTTAATAATCGAAATAAGAATCTTGGAATCGGTTATTTCGATCCGTATTTTAAGACCCTCTGCCTGCGGTAGAAACAGTTACAGAAATCCTTTCCATTCGGAACTTTTGGAGAAAGTATACTTTTTGATCATTCGTCGAGCACACCTGTGTTGAGTTAATTGCTGACGAGAAAAACAAGAACACAAATGGAAGAAGCCTTATTCTACCACTTTTTATTTATTTTTCGCGCAAAGAGTAAACTGTCGCTTGCACCCCTCGCACTTACTTTAGATTTAGTTAAGTGCAGCCTGTAAATATCCCAATTCAGCTCTCTGGAAAACGGCAAGTCGAATGAGAAACTCTTCTTCTACGTGTCCGTCGTGGTTTTTCTCGTAAAATCACGCCGTAAGAATGTTGAACCCCGTGTCCACTCGTAGAACGACATGTTTATGAATTCTGAGGATTAGAGTTGCCGGTCCGCGGCGGACGTTATTAACGAGTTTCTTGCAGAATGTCTCAAACGTGGGTGGTGTATTAAGCTGAAAATGCCGTGTATGACGTGCAGTTTCGTTCCATGATCCTTCCGTCGAGCGTCACGTCCTCCTGTAGCAGGTATTTTCGACGTACCCGCGGGTCGTTTCTCAATTTTCGCGTAAAATAGCGGAGGCAACGGCGACTCCGCTCCCTCCCCATCCCCCTGTGACGCTTTTTAAGCGCACGACTTCCCGTCCGCGGACGCAAACGTGTCAAGGATGGAGATCATGGTTGTATTCATCTACGAGAAGCAGCCTTGAGGCACTTAAATATCGATTGAGGATACAGGAGTGCATCGGTGAACGCTTCCTGTCGGCGCAATTTAATCGTCTACATGCTCGCAACACGCCTAGATCATTGTTTTGCTTCTTGCGCCCCTGCATTATTCCTGTCCACTCTTTCTTTCCCGGTCCAGTCCTATTCACGTTGACGCGCTCCCGTGGTCGTTAATGTTCTCCATTACGTCTTTTTAATCCCGTTGACCGTCATGGTGGTCGCCACCGACGAGCACCGAGGAATTGAATAAAGTGTAGCGGAAAGTAGACGTTAAAGCTACGCGATATCATGTAAGCAGTTTTATTTTCAACGATGAGCAACGTGTTCTCGCCGTACGTCACCGTACAATTACAGCTTTTATTTGTTCGATAACAATAAAAAATGCAAATAGCTTATACTTGGCGGA